CTGGTGAATCCCGAGTGTGGCTCGGGGTTACCGCTTTTGGTAATGAAAATTAACCCCGAGCCACACTCGGGAATACCGCCAGGTAGGTTAAATGCTAAACATGGCCCAACCACTTGAAGTGTAAGTCAGCAGCCATACATCCCCTAGGGTTAAGGAAAGACCTGGAGTCAATGTTCACCTTTTGTAAGTGATTGGCATTTGAGGTAATGAAGAGGTGCAGTGATGATCTATATGTGTGCACATTTTCATGACTCACATTTTAGGCCTTCCTCCTTTTTTTTATTTTTTTTTTATTAGGCCTGAATCCTAAAAATGTAAAGAAATGTCCACAGGAAAATCAGTCAGACACCGGGGTGGGATGGTAATTGGGCTGTACACAGCTCTCCCCCTCCCTTTTATTAATTGTAACACGATCATTAAACATAGACAATTCCTCTTAGTAGTGGTGGCGGTGTGGTCCTGTCACATCAGCTTCAGAGGAATGGGGGTGGTGGTTGGACTGTGCACTGTTAAAATTAGATTTTTGCCCAAAGTGGGGCTTTACATCAATATATTACTATTGTAGCCGCATGAAGCTGCATTACTGGCATAACTTCAGTGGAGATGTGACAAATATTTCTATTTTTCGTTTAGCGAAGGTTTAGAGAATTGCTGGCCGACAGAACCAGTTCATAGCACAGGACTTTTATGTTGCCGAAGCACGGATTTACAATTAATCCCACTAATATGCCACACTCTCAACATCTCTGTCTACTAAATGCAGTATAGTGAAATTGAGCTTTTAGAAAAAGCAATTCTGCATAGAGATACTTGAGCATGATACCCTTTACACTCTTCTGCTTAGTTCTATTAAAAATACTATTTAATAAACAGAGCAAAGAAATTATGCTCCACTTGTAGACTTAAATATCTTCCCTGAAATGAAAGATGTGTTTGCTCTCCTTTTCCACATCCAAGCTATTGTTTGATTAACAAACAAGCTTCTTAAAGTATTCTAGTGCCAGCGATTCTAAAAGGTAGTATAACCAGAAGAACTGTGAAAGGATTAGGAAGACCTTTGTATTACAGTGTAACAGTGCCCTTTAGTGTAGGTCCTTTGCCAATAATTTATTTATCCACAAATGGTAAAATAACATAAAAATCAGACCATCCGGAGTGGGACTTAGGAGGGAGGGTGAGGTTGTAGGCCCAAACTGATGACTTAAAGGGTTTCTAAACCCTCAGCTTTTTTTGCATATATCTACTGCTAGCAAGCAGTTGATATATGCAAAAAGTTTTGTTTTTTTAAACCCCCGCTTTAACAGTGGTTTAAACGTATCTGTGTCTTCCCCGTGCGCTCCCGTCCGAAAATGTGAAAATTCTCGGGCGGCCGCTAAGAATTCTTGGGCGGCTTATAGGGTCTTGGCATTCAGAAAATATATAATGTTGGGGGGTTTTAAGTAATTTTCAGGCCTTAAATGTGGAATATAACATGGGTACAAAAAATGAAAAAAAGGCCTCAGTCATGAAGGGGTTAATAAACGTTGGGGTGAGGGGAAAAAAAAAAAAGTTGCCTTTAATGTCGAGTCGTTGAGAGGGAACTACAGTTGGACACCCCCGGAGCTTTCACGGTCTGGGAACCAGAGCACCAGGAAAGGTTGGCCTCCTGGGGCTTATGGAACGGGTTGGCGTAGTGAGCTCGAGTGAAGCCTGGCATGCAGGTCACAGGGAACTCAGGAACTAGGAGCCTGTGCGTTATCGGGGACACACTAGAGGCATAGAATCTAAGAAGGGCCGTGTCTTCCACAGAGACTCCAATGGTGAGGTTAATTGTGCTGCCGGACACATTTCAGGTTGCGGCCCCCTAGCGTACCCGCATAGACTCAGAAGGCTAGTTGGAGCACCGGGGTCCTGGATACCAAGGCAGACAGGATGGAAGCCTATACACAGACTGCAGTACAGGGTACTGAAGGACCAGGTTGCGGCCCCCTAGCACACCCGCATAGACTCAGAAGGCTAGTTGCAGCACCGGGGGCCTGGATACCAAGGCAGACAGGATAGAAGCCTGTACACAGACTGCAGTACAGGGTACTGAAGGACATGGGGGTAGGAATCCAAACAACACGGCAATCTGGATTTCACAGAGGAGCAAGGCTGCATAGGACAATCAGCCACATACGAGAAAGACGGACTCGCTAGTAAATACAAATGCAAGCCCACTGTTGGAGATTATAACCGTCCATCAGCTGGGCATGCAGGATCTTACTGGGAGCCCAAGGGAATCACAGCACACACAGGGGACAAATCAGGTAAGTAGCAATACTCAGGAATCCAGGGCAAACAATACACAGGTCCGGCCAAGTGTAACGACATGTTGCTTGAATGCCAAGCAAGAAGTGAGCTGATCCTTTAACACTGAGGTTCAGCGTGGATTAGCTGGAGGCAAAACCCGGCGCCGGATCATAGCACAGGGAAGTGTGACAGGAGCTAGCCTATCTCCGGGAAATGGTATGGATCCTGCAAAAATATTTACTACGGCCAGTAACTTTCCCCCACAAACAGTCAGCTGAAGATGTCTAGTGCTGTTCGATGCCACCAATAGAGGGGAAGTTTTTATCTGTGGTTACCTTAACTGTTGCAGATAAGGTAACATCAACTATGCTGTGTGATTGCCTACCTGACTGGATATAATTTGTATAGATTGTTCAAGTTGGCCCCCATACTACATTGTTATTGGTCATTTTATTATTATGATAGTTTAAAATCTATATACCTAGCTTATTAACTAACAAGTTGTTCAATAATTTATTTGCCACTCAAATAAAGCTATACTTCAATGGGTGTATTTATAAAACGTTCGCAGAGCTATTCGCTTTGCAAATGTCTGATTTTTAGATTTACACCACATTATGGTCACTAGATGGAGCTGAGAAGCATAGGAATATCCATCTAGTGGCTATAATGAGGTGTGAATCTAAAACGTAGGGGTCTATTCACAAACGGGTGAAGAGTTTGGAGAAGGCAGGAGAAGTGAACAATCTAGGACAACATAGCTGAACTGGAAAGTGAGCTGAATTGGAGAATTTTTCCAAATCGGCTATTTTGGCCTAGTCTGTTCACTTCTCCCGCCTTCTCCAAACACTTCACCCTTTTGTGAATAGACCTGTTAGTTATTCGCAGAGTCAACAGCTCTGTGAATGTTTTATAAGTACACCCCTAAAAAACCCCAGCCACTGTGTTATGCAGACCTGGGGTCTGTGTCAAATACAATTTTTATATATAAAGTACAGCTATCCTCTAAGTTTTTGCGGGTATTTTTTCCCCCAGCAGACATATAAACATATGTGCTTGTATTTTATGATGATCTACACCACATATAATCCCCTTTATGTACAAGCTGCCATTGATGACTATGTTGCTATGCAGCTGGATTGCTTATTGTATGTAGGTACTACTGTGGATCTACTCCTTAAAATAAACGTGTTATTTGCTTTCTGTTTATTACAGATTGGATTCTCCGCTACTGATGCAGTTACAGGTCTTAAGCTTGTAGAAAGAGGAGTTCCAAAAGAACATTTGGCTCTCTTGGCTGTTCCAATGGTTCCGCTGCAAATATTATTGCCTTTATTAATCAGCAAGTACACTGCTGGTCCCAAACCTCTAAATGTCTTCCACAAAGCCATGCCTTTCAGGTTAGTGAATGTAGATGAAGTAATGATAAAAGAAGCGGTTGGCACCATTCAGGATAACAGCAGGACACCATAACTCTGTGTTTTCATGAATTGCTGAGCCAATAGTAATGTTAGATTTCTTTTTAGGCTTATGGTACATGAGTGTCTTTCCTGTAATAAATAAAAAATGAAGAGCGTTATTTAACTTACTTTGCCCAAGTCTTACACTTAACTTGAGAGTCATGGCTAAGAGGACACCTATAAGTCTGGCTGTGGCCTGCCCTTGCATGCTGTTTCCCGGTTCCTAAAGCTTCCCATACACAGAACATTCAATAACGCCATCAGAGACTTAAAGGAGAAATATGGGATGAGTGAAATGCACTCATCCCCATAGTTAGCTGCAGTGTCACACATCGGCTCTATAGCTCGAGAACTGAGCGATCACAAACCACTGATCACATAGTTCATAATCTTCTCCCTGCAGAGAGCAATGACTGTGGGTCATCTTTTCCCGCAGTGGTTCCCCTCTCCAATCCTCCAGTGCTGACAGGAGGGACAGACAGGAGGGGGTGGGCATAGCTGGCTCTAGAGAGGCAGAACCAGCTGTCAATCAGGTTCCCAGCTGCAGCCCGCTATATGCTGAGTTTTGGGTCACAGGAGGACATTAGTAATTTTCTTCCTGTGGCCCTAAAGAAGACTAAGGCCAAAAAGGTTAGGCTATAGTTCTCTTTTAACAAATGTTTAAAATTTTTGTTTTGATTTTTGGAATGAAGTCACTGCTACAATTTCTGTTCCTTTTGGAAACCTTTTCCATCCTGCTGTTTCGATTTTATTGATTTTTGTCACTACAGTCAAAAAGGTTTGTTAATTCGACCCACTTAAATATTCGAAAATTGAATGAACATCCAAAGAACTAATTTTTCTGAACAAAATTCTAGTGGTGCATGGCCAGCTTAAGCATACATAATAGTGTCAGAAAACACAGCCATCCACAAACATTACCTTTTAAAAATTCAAGGCACTCAGAAGCTAAAAATACAGCCGGTAAGATCGTCGGGCAGTTGATTGCAGTAATGTTAGACCCAGACAATGTAAATTATCCTAAATTAGAAACTCCCATATCTTCCATATTTGAGCCTACAAAAGTATTCTACTTTAAGAATAAATGTGCAGATTATTGCATAAACTCAATCAAGATGGTTCTCTAGAAGTTATTAAAGGAGAACTATGGGGTTAGGACTTTTCCCCATAGTTCTCCTTAGGGTAACGGGAGGACACAAACTAGAGTCTTCCCGTCACCCTAAGCTCAGTATACCGCGAGCTACAGGGGAGAGGGGAATCCAGCCCCTCGCCTGTCACGGCAGAGAGCCGTGACAGGATCATGAAGTGAGCGAACGCCGGTATGTGTTTGCTCACCTCCCGATCTACTTAGCCGACCTGTGACAGTCTCATTGTCACAGGTCGGCTAGAGCTATGAGGTGAGTGAAAAGCACTCACCTCATAGTTCTCCTTTATGCACCAAAGGCATAAAATGTGAAAAACAAGTCACCTTCTAGCTCGGTTTTAATTCCCCCACTTTTTAGACGCAAGCTTTATAGCCATCAGGCTGAGCACATGGAGTGATAATTGACACACATCTAGCGCCCATCCTGCATGCGGCAGGTTTTTTTAGCACTGGCACATGGGGGGGGGGGGGGGGGTTTGC